GGAATGGCAGAAATGTGCAGTGCCAGGCAGCTGCTTCCTCCTTCCAGGGCATTTGCATTGGCATCTCAGGATACAGCAAGAATTTTCAACAGGGAGTGGGAAGCATACATCATACCTTTCAGGAGCACAGCAAGGTTTGGGCAAAATGTTTTTGCAGTCAGCACATCCACACTATGAAGTGGACAGAAAGCAGCCAGCTGCATGTTAGCACTACATTGTGAGCCACACAGGAATCTGCCTCCAGCAATGTCTGCCACCCCACTGGCTGAGGCATCTGGACTTCTCCAGGCAGACGTATGTATACCTACATCCCTACCCCTTCAACATAATTCTCTTTTTTCCTACCTGTAAAGGAAGGACTACCATGTATTTGAGGAGAAGCATAAACAACCTTTTAGAAATTGCAGATCTCACCTACCCCAACTATACCAAGGCATTCAATACAGTGTCGTATGTAAAACCAGCTACAGTTGTAAAAGAGACAAGCAAAAAAATGTACATGGATAAGGAGTAGCTCCAAGACAAGATGCAGGACATTCTGATGTTCCATGCAGGACAAGCTGGTGATCAAGCCCAGTCAGAATGGGTTTATGAAAGTTATGTCCTGCTGCTAAGTGGACCAGGGAAATGGTGTTCAAGTTGTCTACCTAGACCTTAGTAAAAACTTTTGACACTGCTTCCCACAGCATCCTCCTCGAGACACTGGCTACATGTGGCTTAGACCAGTCCACTCTTTGCTGGGTAAAAAAACTGTCTGGGCCCAAGGAGTTGTGGTGCCTGGAGTTAAATCCAGCTGGTATCTGGTCTCAAGTGATGTTTTCCAGGGCTCAGTGTTGAGGCCAGTTCTCTGTATTATCTTTATCAATTATTTAATGTATTATCTTATCAATGAGAGGAACAAGTGCACCCTCAGTAAGCTGGGGAACACCAAGCTGATCAGGAGTGGGACCTGCCTGAGAGTACGAAGGCTCTACAGAGGGTTCTGGACAGGCTGGATCGATGGACTGAGGCCAATGGCATGAGGTTTAACAAGGCCAAGTGCAGGTCACAACAACTCCATGCCCCGCTACCGGCTTGGGGAAGAGTGGCTGGAAAGCTGTCCAGAGGAAAAGGACCTGGGGGTGCTGTCTGGTCAACAGCTGGTTGAATATTAGCCAATAGCGTGCACAGGTGGCCAAGAAGGCCAACAGCATCCCAGCTTATATCAGAAATAGCACGGCTAGCAGGACTAGGAAAGGGATTGTCCCCCTGTACTCAGCACTGGTGAGGTCCCACCTTGAATCCTGGGCCAGTTTTGGGCCCTTCAGTCCAAGAAGGACATTGAGTTGCTGGAGTGTGTCCAGAGAAAAGCAACAAAGATGGTGAAGTGTCTGGAGAATAGCTCTTATGAGGAGCAGCTAAGGGAACTGGGGTTGTTTAGCCTAGAGAAAAGGAGGCTGAGGGGAGACCTCTACAACTACCTGAAAGGAGGGTGTAGTGAGGTGGAGGTCAATTTCTTCTCCCCAGTAACAATCAACAGGACAAAAGCAAATGGTCTTCATTTGCACAAAGGGAAGTTTAGATTAGATATTAGGAAATTTTTCTTCACCAAAAAGCCTGTAAAGCATTGGAACAAGCTGCCCAGGAAGTTGGATGACCCACCATTCCTGGAGGTGTTTAAAAGATGTGCAGATGTGGTGCTTAGGAACATGGTTTTAGTACTGGACTCAGTGTAATCAGGTTCATGGTTGAACTTGATGATCTTACATGTCATCTCCAACTGGAAAGATGCTGAGATTCCATGAAGATGACACTGGGTACTGCTGAAAGCCAAATTGTTGGGCTGGAGGAAGGTTAACAAAGTTCCCCCCAAACTAGTCTGTGCTATGTATTTCTAAATGTTTCATTATTGACCTTGGCACAAGAAGTGGCATCAAAGCTCATAAACTCAACATTGCCTTCACAAGGTAAGAGGACGACATGTGATACACAAGGAACTCAGTGAACTGAGAAATGGAGCAGTAGAAACGGAGTGAAATTAAATGGCATAATAGCATAAGGCCAGTCATGTAGGCATCTTATCACTTGGAAGCAGTGGGTGGAGAGAAGCAACTTGAGCCTCTCAGCAGAGCACCTGGCCTGCAGATGACCAGGCCTGCAG